AATTCATAATGCAAAGCCACTGAGTACAAGTTCAGACAGGATGGGCTGGGGAGTGCAAGGGCTGGCGTCCTGCATTTCTGGCCAGACACCAACCCAGGAAATGAATGAACTCAAGCCCCACCCTCTCACAGCTCTCAGCTGCTCCTGGAAAGGAGGATTCAAGGATTCAGCCTCTGGGATCCTGACTGGCCTTTCTTGCTGGCCTTTTCCAAAGGCCCTTCTGAACCCTCTGTGAGCAGACAGCATTCTCCTCCAACCTGCTGGACAGGGAGCTCATGCCTTGCTTCTACTCTGAACTCCCCCCATCTCCCAAGCTGCTTAACCTTTCTGACCCTGACGTCCTCCCTGGGAAGCAGGACCACAAGCACAGGCCTGCCTACGTCACAAAGACATCAGGGTTCCCCGAGAGTAACAGACATGGTAATGCCTTGAAGCACCTTTGCACGCTAGGATTGCAAAGCCCCACAGAGTATGTATCGTCCTGTGTTTCCCCACGGCCCTGCTGATGCAATACCCCAGTGGCTGAGTGCCTGAGTCCAGGCCTGGCTGCTGGGCCTGCTGCTTTATCAGGCCATTGGACTTGGCACGGCCGGGTACATTATCTGCTCTTCGTCACAGACCCGTCTCCAAGAGGCTTGAAAGACACATGCGCCTTTTGTCTCAGTTGCACATGGCTGTTCCTCAGGAGGTACCGGGAGCTTTGTGCCAGCCTCTGAGGGCAACGTGCACTGGCACCGCCAAGTCCCATCTTGGCACAGAGGGACCTGCATCGGCCCCAAGCTGCTTATCGTGGCAGCAAGAGAGCCAGGCTCCCGTGACCTGCTCCGGTGGGAAGGAAGGGCCCCTGCTCTATCAGCTTCCTCAACCTCCCTGCCTGGCCTCTGTTCTCAGAAGAAAATGACTTCTCCTGGCAAGAGAAACAGTCGAGACTTCTTGGAACAATTAGCAGAACCAGCTTTGGAAGAGAGACTTACAAAGACTCCAGGATCAAACTCTTCAACCCTGATGCCTTCCTGTTTATCCAACGATTTAAATACGATTAAACTAATGGAGACATAATATCCTCCCACTAGCTGGCCTGGAGCCTGCCGGCCAGAGCTCAAATGGTGCGACAAGGAAACGGGCCCTTCAAGACCTGGTGGCAGGCTCCAGACAAAGGCCTCATTCTGTGTCTCCAGCACAGCCTCCACCCTGGACCACGCTGCTGCCAGGGCCCGGGGGCCTGGGCTGGAGGCCAGGGGTGGGAGCTGGGGTGGGAAGGCCAGAGCCAGAGCAGGGCTTGCACTAATTCCTTGGGTCTGAAGTCCCCCATTCACTTCCTGAGCAGAAGAAACCTTCAGGTGGAAACCGCAATCGGCTTACAGCTTGTTTTTCTTACTTATCAGTATTTGAAGTGATTGTGTGAAAACCAGAAAACGCTTGGTTTCATTCGGTGTTCATGGGCCACTCTGAGTCACAGGGGAAGTCAGCACCGCTGTCAGACTCTTCGCTAAGTAATGAGGGAAAACTGCAGCGGGAGGCTTCAAGGTTGCTCACGAGACCCCTGCATGGTGTTCAGTATGCGCTTATTCAAGGGTCACCCCTCTTCGGGCCTCCGGAACTGAAGTCAGGCTATAGGACACTCAAGGAAATTTTTGATTAGGCAGGAAAGCCAGTGAGGTTGCTTCTGGATGTGATTCCATGGCACTGTGAGGGCTTATGGACGACTGTGGGTCCAGCCTCAGCAGTTCTCAGAGCACTTTCTGAGCTGTCTCAAAAAGTGGCATGGGGATGGCAGGACAGGGACAATGAATGGCCACGCACTTCAACAATCGTGTTTCTCACCAACCGTAGGCTCCGAACAAGGCTGCCCCTAGTGTTCCACACCACGTCCAAGTTACCGTGCTCATCACATACCTTGGCAAGACCTTCCATCCTCATTGAGGGTAAAACCGGGGTTGCATGTACAGGAGTAAGATCCAGGAACATTTGCGCAGAGCTGCTGGCAGTAACCATAGCGACATTCATCAATGTCTGGAAAGAGAGCAAGCAAGGTAAGACTCTCCTCATTCACTCTCGCCACCACTGGCCAGTACTATTGTGCCCCTCTCCTGAGGACCCTGGAGGAAAGCAAAGAGGAAACCAAAGTTACAATAGCCCCTGTGAGTCAGGGATGGTGACGCGGTCTCAATTGTAAGGTCCTACAATCTAGTGCCTTCCTGACCCATCTCAGTCCTGTGAACACCTGAACTTGTCCTGAAAGAGAAAAGAAATTTCTACTTCAATTGGGATATTGGGCAAGATCGCCCCTCAGATTTTATCCAACTCTAAGAGTTATCGAACATTAAGATTCAACTCCAGGAACCAGCAGATGGCATAATGGTTACATCACTGGACTCCCATGTGTGGTTTGAATCCCAGACCCAGTGACTTAAAGCTCACGCCGGGCACATATGAAGGTGTGCCCAAAAATCCCAAGAGGAGAATGGAGGAGAAGGAATTGTGGCATGGCCATCCCCCTGCAGGGTGATTTCTCGCTGTCTGTCTCTCCAGAGAGCACGTGCATCCTCTAGCAGAAATCTCTTTAACAACAACAAAAAAAATTCAACTCTAAGTGCTGGCTCTGTGACCTAGTGGTTAAGACAGCTGGATCCCACATGACCAACCACGCAATTCAAGTCTCAAATCCAGTGGCTTGAGAAACACACTGGGCACGCCCAAGATCCTGACAGGATGAAGAAATGAAGAAGGGATTACACCAAGACTATGCCCATGGGGGGTGCTTTCTCCTTCTCTCTCTTCTCTCTCTGGTGAGCGCACATCCCTGTAGCAAAAATTAAAAACAGGGGGAAAAAAAGATTCAACTCTAAGATTCTACATAAACTTTTCACTGTCCAGGAAGGGACAACTTAGCTTAGCATGTAAGAAAAATCCATAGCATTGCTCCAACAGGCTCCTTGCCAGCCCTGCTAGCAACGAATAGTCTGATTATCAGGAACGAGTTGGTGTGGGCCAGGACGAGCTGGGTAGGCTGCAATCTGGAGACCTATGAATCCTGTAACACAAGGATGCTGGAGTTCGCCTCACAGCTCCTCCCTGCACCAGAGTGGACATAAAACTCTGGATACTTATGCCTCTTCCAAGCTGGGACTGGCTTTTCCAGGGAAAGCAGCAGCACTGTGGGCAAGTGGGTCTTTTCAGTGGACCTGGGCAATATGACCTCCCTGACATGCCTCTGACGTTGCGGGCTGAGCACCGTCAGCACTTCCCAAGCTGACAGCATCATGGGCTGCAGAATTCCCTCCAGGGGGATCAGGTGTCCTGAACGAAACTGCCAGCCCCGGAGCAGACAGGGGCCTCAGAGGCCTCACCTGTACAGACTCCTGCTGTGATCAGTGACCTGACTGCAGCTGCGAAGTGGCTCTTATCTCACCTATTGCCTCCCTCCAAAGTAACGGGTTTTCCTCCCTGCAAGTCCGGGGATCAGGGTCCACCCAAGGCTGCAGAGGCCAGCTGAGAACCTCGGTCCCTATGCACGGTTTCTACTGCCTGCTCCCAGGAAGGACTCCATCTCTCCAGCCCATCTTGATCCCTTCCCATTGTTCAGCTCTTCCAAGATCCTGTGCCCTATCCTTGTGATTCTGGGTGTGTGTTGTTGAGGGTTGGCGGAGGGGGGGGGGTAGACTGATGTTTTAGACAGGGTTTTGCTGTGTCGTGATCCTTCCTGCCTCAACCTCCCGAGTAGCTGGGATCATAGCTTCCACCACCATGACCGGCTCCTTCAGACAAGGTCCCACTACATTACCCACGCAGGCCATGAGTTCCTGATTCGCTTGCCCTAGCCTCCCAAGTAGCTGGGAGTACAATGGCATATCCCCTTACCCAGCTTTTTTAGCGTAGGCTGGGCACTGAACCCCACCTCCACATGGCTTCAGCCTGTCAAGCAACTGCATCCAAATATACTACCTTGACTGGGATGTGAGTCGGCTTTACTTAGGAGTCTCAGCTATTTCCCTTTATTGTTAATATTATTTCTCCCATGAGTGAGAGAAGAAAGAGACATTGCACTCTAACAGGATCCTGATGCCACAATCTATCCCCATTAGCCAGTCCCACATCACAGATAGACATGTGCCTGGCATACCCAGGGATGTCCCGAAACTTGAACCTGCAAGCTTTTCGTATGAGTCAGCCTCACAGAGCATCAGATGTTACCACTGTTTCACCATCGGGACCCCCGAGCACTGGGAAGCTCCTGCTTGGCAAGTCCATGGGCTTGTACAGTTGCTGACCCTGACCTCTTTCTGAATGCAGTTGGGTATATCACCCAGGCCCAGTGAGACAGCAGAGGCCCAAGAAAGTACCCTTGGCCTGCTATACTTTGAAGGAGTAACAGACCTTCTGCTCCTTGTTTTTCTGCAAAAGTAAACCCTCCAGAGGTTGTGGAAGCAGTGGAGGATGACTGTGAACTCACATTTTGAAAGAGAGAAAAGAGTTTGGCCAGAGGAAGGGCTGAGTTCTGCCCCAGTTAGGAAGGTCTTCACTTCAGATGTTAAGTGTGAGCCGGCTGTGCTGGGTGGCACCACGGTAGGCTTCCGTGAGCTTCACTCCCCAGACTTCATACTTTGCAGGAGAGCATGACCCCCACCAAGTAGAGGAAGGTCCCAGGTCTGTGAGCCCCTCAGATCAGGAGGAGTTTCCTGGCCCCAAGGTCTCTACAATAGGCCTGTTGTATCCTGGTCGCCTCTGTCTCTACAGCGCCCCTTGTGGCAGCCTGAGACTCGGGCAATTCAGATGTCCGACCCAACTGCGTTAACTTCTTCCAAAATGTCCCTCCTCTTTAAGTCTCAGTCTCCAACTCTATAAAAGTTGGATGACATAATATCTAACATTCTTTCCAGCTTCAAAATTCTACATATTAAGTTCCTGTACAAATAAGTCCCTCTCGTTGGTGTGCTTAATGTTCAAATCAGCAATATCAAAATTTCCATTATAGCAGAGGGCAGTTTAAATGCAGTGATCATCATATTCACAAATGCTCCTATGCATCAGCTCTTCATTGCATGCCTAAAAAGAACTAAGGACTAGCAAATGGCATAGTGGTTAAGCCACTGGACTCCCACATGGCAAGCCGTGGTTCGAGTCCTGGACCCAGTGGCTTGAAACTTACACCAGGCACATATGCATGTGTGCCCAAGATCCTGGGGGGAGAAGGGATTGGAGAGATTTCTCACTTTGATTCTCACTGCCTCTCTCTCTCTCTTCCTCTCTAGCTAGCGCGTGCATCCTAAGACCAAAAAAAACCTCTTAAAAAAATAGAGGAAGGAAGGAAGGAAGGAAGGAAGGAAGGAAGGAAGGAAGGAAGGAAGGAAGGAAGAAAGAAAGAAAGAAAGAAAGAAAGAAAGAAAGAAAGAGAGAAAGAACGAAAGAGAGAAAGAAAGAGAGAGAAAGAGAGAAAGAGAGAGAGAGAAAGAAAGAAAGAAAGAAAGAAAGAAAGAAAGAAAGAAAGAAAGAAAGAAAGAGAAAGGAAGGAAGGAAGGAAGGAAGGAAGGAAGAAAGGAAGGAAGGAAGGAAGGAAGGAAGGAAGGAAGGAAGGAAGGAAGGAAGAAAGAAAACCAAGCCCAGTCTAGGCTAGCTTTAACAGGCCTGGAGGGCTCCTTAGACAGAGCTTGAGAGAGACCCAAACTCAGTCTCAATCAAGAAAGACTTGGAAAGAAACAAGCACCTTCTTTATTTTTATTATTTTTTTTTTTGTTTCCATGAAATTGTTTGGAACCGTTTCTCAATCCTCTGTTGACTTTCAGGCAACAGAATAGTGTCTTAGAGAATTTCAACTGGAAAGGCTTTTCCAAGAAAACACAGCATAAGGATTATACCTTAGAAATAGAAATTGAAGTGACAGCTAGAGGGAGTGCTATGAATTCATTCCCTTGGCTAAACCCAAGACTAGAGGGGAAGAAAGGAAAATAACTCTCCAATAAAAATAAACAGAAAGATCATATAGTGGATGTCCACAGCAGATTCCCAACTGCTGATGATCAACTCTCCGGGAGTTAAAGGACCCCAGTAGGGTGGCCGTGGTGGGGCTGGGGGATGAGGGGTGTTGGGAGGAGATGAGGTAAGATCAGAATCTACTGCTCCATTGGAGACTTGGGACGTCCTGTGACTAAGCCACTGTGTCCCCTTCCCTTAGTATTATTTCTAACCAGGGCAGAATAACCCTCCCTTCTATTGCTTCCAGACTTAGAGATTAACTTCCCAAATGCAGAAAGAAAGTCAAAGTAAATCAAACTTGACCCCTTAAAAATTCAATTCAAGGGGCCAGCAGGTTGTATAGTGGTTAGAGTCCTGGACTCCCACAAGGTAAACCACGGTTCAAATCCCAGAGCTGGTGGCAGGTCCCAGGTTTGCATCCCGAGGTCTCTCTGTGCATGCTGGGGATGCTGAGGCTGAGAGGAGGATGGCAACATGAAGACCCACGCACACACACACACACTTTCCCTCTCTTTTTTTTTTTTTTGAGAGATTTTCACTGTAGGGCGCGTGCGCTCGCCAGACAGACAGAGAGACATAGAGACAGAAAGCGAGAAATCACCCCCCAGGGGGGATGGTCACGCCGCAATCCCTTCTCCTCCATTCTCCTCTCGGGATCTTGGGCACGCACGCACATGCGCCCGGCGTGAGTTTTAAGCCACCGGGTCCGGGACACGAACCGTGGTCGAATACGTGGGAGTCCAGCGACATAGCCATTACGCTAACTGCTGGTTCCCCCTCTCTTATGAAATAAATAAATAATAAGCTTACAAAATAAAGATGAGGGGCCAGCAGGTGGCATAGTAGTTAAGGTGCTAGACTCCTACATGGCTGACCATGGGTCAAGCCCTTGACCCAGCAGCTTCAAAATCACACTGGGTGTGTGTGCATGCATGCCCCAAATCCCAAGAGTATAATAAAGGAGAAGGGATTGCAGCATGGCCATCCTCCTGGCAGGTGGGTGATTGTTCACTTTCCCTCTGTCTCTGTCTCTCTGGCAAGCACACATGCCCTAAGGCCAATAAAAACTTTGAAAAAAGAAGGCCAGCAGGTGGCATGGTTGTTAAAGTTCTGGATCCTGCAAGGCTGACTCTATGGTTCAAGTCCTGGAGCCAGCAGCCTGAAAAACATGCTGGGTGCGTGTGCACCCAAAATCCCAAGAGGAGAATAGAGAGAAAGAGATTGTAGCATGACCGTCTGCTCTGGGGACGATTTCTCACTTTTCCTGACTCTCTCTCTCTCTTTCTCTCTATCTCTCTCCAGTGAGCACACATGCCCTATGGCAATAATCTAAAACAAAAAAAGGAAAAAACAAACAAACTATGGATCAGCCTCATAGTGCAGGAATTAAGAGCCGGGCATAGAGGGCCAGATCCCACATTGCCAAGCCTGGCCTGAAAAACATTTTTGGTGCGTGGGCATGTGTACCCAAAGTCTTCATGGGATGGAGAAATGGAGAAAGAAGGATTGGGGTGTGACCACACCCAACTAGGGGGATGCTTCTCTCCTTCACTCTCTCGATCTGGTTAGTGCACATGCCTTCTAGCAATTAAAAGAAAAAAGCACACGCACACACGCGCACACAAACTATAATTATGACACAACAGTATAAACTGGTTTTAAGGTAATGATCCATGCAAGCCGAACAGCCTTCTACCTCCCTCCCCGAATAAAAGCTTGCTACCCTTAGACCACCGACTGTGCCCACCCTGCACAATACTGCTGGCACCCATGAACTTCGCAGAGTCCCTGGGAACCCACAGCGCTGTTACCTAAGCACTGGCCTTCCAGAAGCCAGTATCCGTCCGTGCAGGAGCAGGTGTACCCCCCTTCAGTGTTGATGCAGATCTGAGTAGGGTTGCACTGGTGGGAGTCTGTTGCACACTCGTCCACATCTGTAACACAGACACATGCAAAGAACGTCAGCAACATCTCCAGAGTCCTGCAGCCCCCAGAGGTGCCCACTGCTTGTCCTGGCTGGGAGGCAGCTGACGAAGCTACACCAGGGAGGTGTGACATCTGTCCTGGAGACGCTGACCTGCAGGTGGGGGGAGTAAAGCTAGTCTGCCCACTAGAATCCACAAAGCAGAATGTCCGAGAAGGGAACGCATACCCTTGGGGACTCTGCATTTTCTATGAGGCTACACAAGAGTCTGTTGTGTACCTACTGTGTGCACAGGACTATGACAAATACCACTGAGAGCATCACAGAAGTAAAAGAAATGTTTCCTGCCCACAGAAGCTAGTCACCTAATCACTTGATGGTCGTCCAGGCAAATCTTTTGCCCTAGGGCTCCTGAATCTTCCAACCTCCAAGGACTCCAGAACTCCAGGGGCTGAGCTCCCTCTGCCCTCTGCTTATGTTAGGTCTCTTTCTGCTGCTACAGAGCCAGTCACTCTGTCTGGTGGAGTGAAGGTACCTGTGTCCAAGTCAGCCCCTTCTCCTTAACGGTCAGAGCACAGAGATCGAATCGTATTCAGCTTTTTCCAAGGCAGCTGACACTGGCATGGAGCACAGTCAGTGTTCACAACTCTGTTAAACTAAGACAGGGACCAACAGGTAGCAGGGAGAGTAAGACAGCTGGATCCTACACAGCCTAGTGTGCAGTTCGAGGCCCTGACCCAGTGGCTTAAAAATCACTCCCGCTTGTGCATGCCCAAAATCCCAAGTAGAAAATGGAGAAGGGACTGTGGAATGGCCAAACCCTGGGGGATGAATCTCACTTTTTTTCTCTCTCATCTCTCCAGCGAGCGTAAGCACCCTATAGCAAGCCAAAAAAAAAAAGGAATAAGAATAAAGAAAACTGACATGGCCCTCTTCCTCTTCTCCTCACATGGCACTTTGGAAGAGAGCACTCAACATCCTGAAATGGGATCTCACTATGCCACACCCTCCCTTTGACCTAAAGGTGGTGACTAGTTTCTAAACATCCATGCATTACTTCACTCCACAAGGATCCACTGAGCACAGTGGACCTGCCCGGACCAAATCCAGGGTCTTTCTTCCTTATCAGTCTTGCCCTCCCCAGCCTGCAGCCTCCTTTACCCCACCTCAAGGCCACATTCAGGATTTGCTCATCTACTGCCTTCTCCACCTCCACCGCCTTCTCCCTCCAACCTCCACTGCCTTCTCCACCTCCACCACCTTCTCCCTCCAACCTCCACTGCCTTCTCCACCTCCACCACCTTCTCCCTCCAACCTCCACTGCCTTCTCCACCTCCACCACCTTCTCCCTCCAACCTCCACTGCCTTCTCCACCTCCACCACCTTCTCCCTCCAACCTCCACTGCCTTCTCCACCTCCACCACCTTCTCCCTCCAACCTCCACTGCCTTCTCCACCTCCACCACCTTCTCCCTCCAACCTCCACTGCCTTCTCCACCTCCACCACCTTCTCCCTCCAACCTCCACTGCCTTCTCCACCTCCACCACCTTCTCCCTCCAACCTCCACTGCCTTCTCCACCTCCACCACCTTCTCCCTCCAACCTCCACTGCCTTCTCCACCTCCACCACCTTCTCCCTCCAACCTCCACTGCCTTCTCCACCTCCACCACCTTCTCCCTCCAACCTCCACTGCCTTCTCCACCTCCACCACCTTCTCCCTCCAACCTCCACTGCCTTCTCCACCTCCACCACCTTCTCCCTCCAACCTCCACTGCCTTCTCCACCTCCACCACCTTCTCCCTCCAACCTCCACTGCCTTCTCCACCTCTACCACCTTCTCCCACCTCCACCACCTTCTCCAAATCTACTGACTTCTCTACCTCCACCATCTTGTCCCACCTCCACCACCTTGTCCCACCTCCACTACCTTCTCCATTTCCACCACCTTCTCCACCTCCACCGCCTTCTCCCTCTAACGTCCACCGCCTTCTCCAACCTCCACTGCCTTTTTCACCTCCACCACCTTGTCCTACCTCGACTGCCTTCTCCACCTCCATCATCTTGTCCCATCTCTACTGCCTTGTCCCACCTCCACCACCTTCTCCCACCTCCACCATCTCATCCCACCTCCACTGTCTCATCCCACCTCCACCACCTTCTCCACCTCTACCGCCTTCTCCTCTTCCACCACCTTCTCTACTTCCACCACCTCGTCCACCTCCACCGCCTCATCCCACCTCCACTACTTTCTCCACCTCCACCACCTTCTCCCATGTCCACTGCCTTCTTCCACCTCCACCATCTTGTCCCACCTCCATTTCCTTCTTCCATCTCCACCGCCTTCTCCACCTCCACCACCTTCTCCACCTCCACCACCTTCTCCCACCTTCACCACCTTCTCCACCTCCACCACCTTCTCCACTTAATGGACTGTCATGCACTTGGAAATAACTACATGCTGCAATTCACTGACCCTGTGCTGTGCACCTGACCCCTCCTTGTTACCATATTTGCTCTCATGCTGGGCAGGTGGGGTGGGGGTGAGGCTCATGATGCCCACTTTACAGCTGGGACAGCAAAGCTGAAAGAGCTTATAAATACCATGCCAAGAGCTGAACACAGGCCCACCTACATGCCTGACTCCAAGTCCACTCTGCAGGAATGATAGCTCACAGCTCTGAGGACTGAGCAGGTCCAGTGGGGGACTGGCAGACTCAGCAGAGGAGACACAGCTGAGTTATTCTGACCATCTACCTCCCCATCTCACCAACTGTCTGCCCCTTGACATCGCAGATTGCAGCCTTTATCATCATCCTTCAGATGACTTTCTAGAATATGTGCAGTGTGGGTGGAGGGGTGCCTAGGGTCTAACAGTGTATCTCCTTGAGGACGAGGGCCTGTAGCATGGGGCTTTGCATGCAGTGCTCAGGAAGTCTGCACAACTGATTAAGTGAAACATGCCACAGGAGAATGGTCTCCCGGGTTCAAGAGACACGACCACAATCGGCCATCTATTTGTAACCCACACTAATGACACTGATCAATCCCCACCCCATCCCCAAATGCCCAGGTGCCTGGGCACTACATGGAACCAGCCTTCACTCCCCCAAGCATAACCTCCAAGAACCCAGTTTCGAGTTGGCACAAGGTGGTTCCTCTAACCCACACCAACGTGCTGACTGTGTGCGGCCTGGGAGGAAAAGGCCCCGCCTTGTTCTCAGCAGCAAGAACTCCGCCTCTGCCCTTTGTCCCTTTCCACCCCAGCTCTGCCCACACTGCAGAGCCTCCCAGGGGACCAGCAAATAATGCTTGGCCAGCGGCCGCCCCTGCTCAAATCCATATCGAAGCCTACGACAATAAATAATGCCACTATCAGCCAGTGCGTATTTACATTTTCCTGGTGGGGACTGATGGATGGCAATTGTACCCTGGGAACAACCTAGCCTAAGGAATTTCTGCTCTTTTCCTGCCCTGAGGGGAGTGAAGGGTGAGGGAGACCAAGGGTGAGAGGGCGAACTGTCTGAGAGCGTGGGTGACAGCAAGTTTCCAAGCCGCTGTGTAACTTAGGGCACGCACAATGTGCCCACAGAGTCCAGCAGGGAGAACCAGACCCACACAAGTGAAGCAGATGGCTCAGAAGGGTCCAGAGGACCGGATGTGTGTGTGTGTGTGTGTGTGTGTGTGTGTGTGTGTGTTGCACATGCACACACACGAGTATGTGCAAGTATTCAGGCCTAGAAACAAAATATTTAAAGTTCACTTTTTCAAAATGCCACCACTCTGACTGAACTGAAGAGCTGACTGGGCCCAGCTCAGGTGGCTTTGAGGAATGCAAGGCCAACCACGGGTTAGATCCCTGGATCAGCCTGAAAGCATGCCGAGCAGGTGTGTGGGCCTGAATCCTGAGGAACTGGAGAGCAGAGAGGGAGGGCCACAGTGTGACAAGACCCAGTTGGAGGTGCTTTCTCTCTCTTGTACATGCATGTGCTCCCAAGCATTAAAAAAGGAGAAAAAAAAATTAAAGAATTGGAGGCCGACAAATGGCATGGTGGCTAAGGTGCTGCATGCTAGGGCCAGCAGGTGGTGTGATGGTTGAGGTACGAGACTCAGGCGTGGCTGACCATGATCTGACTCTAGACCTGGTGGCTTGTTTATCATTCCCCTTCTCTCTTTCTGTCTCTCTCTCTCTCTAATCGAATTAAATATATATATATATAATAAATAAAATAAAATAATTATTTTTTAAAAAAAAGCTGCAAACATCCTACATGGCTAACTATGTGGGTCAAGTCCCAGACCTGGTACAGGAGTGCTTAAAAATTTCAGAAGGAGGATGGCGAAGAAGGAATTTCTGCATGGCCATCATCCCGGAGTTAGAGGGTTAGGGTGATTTCTCACTTTCCCTCTCTGTCTCTCTCCAGCAAATGCATACACCCTCTGGCAAAAAATCTAAATTAAAAAAAAGGAAAAAAGAAAGAAAAGAATGAATTCTGTTATATAGCACTTCTGTTGATAGACATTTTAAAATTAAACGTTCAACTTTCATTAGCTCGCTTAATGAATTATCAATGCCAAGCATATTTGGAGAACTCAGAAAGTCTCTGGAATTTGGGGGGAGGTGTCTTTCATCTTTACATCCTCAAAACACACTGGGTAGAAGGCCAAGTCTACCATAAATGTTCAGTAACTGTTGAATGAATGAACACAGGAACAAGAATCAGGAATGCTTTTGAGCCCCCAGACAGGTTTTCCCAGCTAACGAGCTGACAAGCTCGGTTTGGTGTGTGTGCTTTAGTTCCACCACCATGGCCCACACCACCGTCAGCTCACACACCTGGAGGATGGAGCAGAACTGGAAATAATCACACTGCGGGTTTCCACACAGGGCTGAAAGACGCAACACACATTCCAGCTCACGACAGAACTGCTTACATTCAATACATTTGACTTAAATAACAGGAGGGAAAATACATCAAGCCACTCCAAGGACATTCCTTGGCAGGGCCTCCT